ACCTTGCTCTGTTCTGTGATGCGCGTTTGTGACTCTCCTGGTCGAACTCGTTCATCGAAATGAACGAATCTTTTTTCGAGTCATTTGGTTCATTCAAAAGATTCATTTTATTTTTTAAATGAGCGATCTTTTCACTTGATAAGACCCTTATTCATCGTCTGGTGTCGTTTAAAGCCCTTTGAACAGTTTGCAGTTTGCACTGAAACTCTCATTTGGACCTTGAACCGTTTGGTCCCCATATAAGTCAAAGTCTTAATTTCTTTTCGACTGAAGAAAGAAAGACATGGACATCTTGGGTGACATGGGGGTGAGTAAATTATCAGCAAAAGGTTTTTTTTAAAAGTGAACTACTCCTTTAACCCTCGAAGCCAAGGCCTGCGAAACACTATGTTTACATATACCCCAATAATCAGAGCAAGGACATCATCACAGTCAATGTTTCACTTGGAAACGCATCAAAACTCGTCAGGTTTTCTTATTTAAATATTTTAGATGTGTGCTATTTAAATTCTGAAAGTATTTCATCTAAAATGATCTTTTATTCTCTGGGTTTGCCTGAGCTGAACTTCTCTGTGTTATGTGGTGATCCTTCTTTTTCAGAAATCACATCACACCTTGATTCTGCTCAGTGTAAAGATATAAATCATGATTTGAAGAGAGCGCGTTCACCTGTTCTGAGGTCCATCACCCACTAGGTACTCAACGACCCTGTCCATGGCACCTCGATCTCTGGGGAGGATGGGTCTGGCCAGCGGAGGGCCGGGAGGGTGCATCCCTGCGCACACACACACACACGTCAGTGCACACCGCAGACTGTATCTGTGGCTCAGTGCTGCATGGCCGATGATGAATGATAAGAGGGACAGCTTTTAATAACGACACTGATATGGACCTCCCTCCTCACGCCCGCTGTGATCCGCACTCATAATTAATATAATTTAACATCAAGAGCGATCATAGCCAGAAGACTGGTCATTTCTGCCAGACTTGGCATCGTCAGGAATCCCTGCTGCTTCCTCATTTACCAGCATATGGAGACGCCGCAGTGGGCCAAGGTGCTTTTCACTTCCAATCTCTTCCTAAAGGTGTTCGCTTCAACAGGGCCCAGATCTGTTCACACACACAGCACACTTACGTGACGGACGCAGCAGGGCCTGTGTCACCTGTCACTCACTGCTAACAGGTGTGTGTGTGTAGATCAAAGGAGGTAAAAAAAAAGCTATAGGATCTATAGAATAAAGTTAAAACATACAAAGCTCTAGTGTTATTTATATACTAATTTAGTGTTTATTATCATTTCTAATCACCATTTACTTGTCTTAGCTATGTGTAATATTATTCGTAATTTCAGCATGTGCTTCTGTTAGTTTATATATATATACATCAGTGGCGGCTGGTGAAAAATATTATAGGTGGGGCTGTGTGTTGTGGGAAGGGGGGGGGGGGTGTCTGGGGGTCAAATTCCCCCATCAAATTTTGAATTTCGTAGATGTGATTTCCTGCATTCTGGTGCATTTTAGGCCTTTGCTCCTTGCCACTTAATACCAATGGTCTAAAAATACAATGTTAATTGAACTGCTATGTAGAAAATTAAATGCATCAGTCTCGTGATCTTTGAAATTGAGAGCTTCAACTCCCGTGAACTGCTCGTTAAACAAAGATAAAGCATTGATTTGTACCAGGTCTCAGTCTACATTACATTACCAATGGTGTTTTAGGATGCCAAACAATTATTATAATAATGTAACGATGATTTATATAATTATTCCTATGACGTAAAATCCATATAGCCTAAATGTAAGTGTATACTATATAAATGAAAATGAATATTTCAAAAGTATATTTTAGTCTACATTACACTATAATATAGGAAAATTAAAATACTTTAGTCCTTATTTCTACGCTTGCAAGAAATAAATTCTTGAGCTTTTATTTAGGAGAAAACACCAGATGACCACAAGTGCACACGTTTATACCCAGCAAAAACTGAATGCCTATATTGCCTATATACATTTACTAAGTAATTAGTTACTGTAATTTAATTACTTTTCCCTTGAAAATGTAAAGTAAGGGATTACTCTTCATTTATCTGAAATTTAATTACAGTTACTTCTGATGTAATTGAGGTACTGTGTATAGATCAATCGTATGCATTTTATGAGGAGTCTAAATTTCGTATGAATTATTGTAAAATATGTATGAAAAAAGTGTGAAATGTCATGAGATCAGACATAAAACAATAGTGGGTTTAACATCAAAATGTACTGTCTGATGCTAAAAAGTATGTTTTTATAATGTAACCTTCTCCACCTTGGTCACTTTAAGGATAATTCATGCAATTTTATAGTTTTTATTTGAAAGAATTAAAACAGATTCATGTCTATGCTTGTATTATTCAGCTGGTTGAGATTGAAATGGGATTTTGAAAGTAATTAGTAATTAAAAACTTTTTAGAGAGAGTAATTAGTACAGTAATCTAATTACACTGTTGAAGAGGTAATTAGTAACTAGTAATTAATTACTTTTTTAGAGTAACTTACCCAACACTGATTACCAGCCATATATGCCAACCAAAGCCAATCACAGTGTGAGTGAGGGCATGAGACTCACCCATCCCATGGGCCGGAGTGCCAGCCGGGGTCCCAGGCCTCCGGATCAGACCGTGTGGCGTCGAGGTGGACAGACCCTTCTCAGGTGGCCCGCCCGGGGCCGACAGTGGAGTCGGGGGGGCTGATCCAGGAACGGGAGGCGGGCGTCCAGCAGGACGAGGGGACACGAGCCTCTGACGCAGCTCTGAGCAGAAAATCACATGATTCTGACACAGTAAAACACACGAGTGTGCTTTCGACTAGAGTCAGACCGATATATCGGCCGATATTAGAGATTTTTCAAACTATCGGTATCAGCAGTTATAATGGCCGATAAATGAATATTTCAAAAATAAAATAAAAACGGACGAAACACGCTTCAATCATCTCTCCTTGGCCTGTTATATTGAAAATGTATGTTTTACAATTTGCAGTATAACGTTATCTATTGCTAAATTATGGCTCATCATAGACTAGCTAATGCCACTATCATCAGTGGAAGGCCGCTAACGTTAACATTAATGAGCTTGGAAACCACAATGAACTTTTTCTGCCTAAATAAAGTAATGATTAGTGTATTTATAACTAGCATATCTCTAGTTACAGTCCCTGCATTGTAAAATGCAAGTTAGACTTGCGAGGAGTGAACATTTAGACATAGAGAAAAAGTATCAAACGTAACTGATGATTGAAAATGGTTTGATGTAACTTGATGGAGAGTATCTAAAAAGTGCAGGTAAAGGGATAAGCAAGAGGACATTGTAATTATAAGGTAGCTTATAAGGCAATGTAGGGACTAATTATTATTTTATTTATCAGAATTTTAATATATTTTGATGTTGTGAAAATAAAAGAAACAAGTTTATTTTTAAAATGCTTTATCATACTATTTTAGTTAAAACTCATAAATAACTACAAATAACTATGTTAGGGAAATCTGTTAATGTTTTGTGGCGCGTTTCTGAAAAAAATTTATAGAAATAAAATATCGGCCGATATATCGGATTTTAAAACCCAAAAATATTTGTATCGGTATCGGTCTTCAAAATCCTTTATCGGTCGGGCTCTACGTTCGACACCACAGAATCATCGGTATCGATGTGTATAGCGCACCTGATCTCACTCATAGACCGTACCATTTCTAAAACACGTTAACCATTACTCTTCATCAAAATAGAATTAATTTAAAGGGAAAGCCACATTACAAATATAGAGTTCGTTCACCATCATGATTGCTAGCATAGAAACAGTCGGCTCTGGTGTTGCTGCACGGTTAAAACCATTTCCCCCTGCACACTTGGCTTTTCTTTCATCAGTAGGAAAGTTATCAAGTTATTAAACACAGATAAAAGTTTATTAAAAAAAAAATGTGAGTTCATGTTGACTTCAGAGGGGGAAAGGACTTGTTCGCTCACCTTGGCCGGGTCTTGGAGTCGCCGGTGGGCCAGTGGCTTGAGCTTCTAACTCCTAAACAAAGCAAAAACATGAATCCACCATCACATATGTGCAAATACATTTATTTACAGACTTAAGAATTGGGAACTTACGAGCTTTTTCTTAGAGTCCGGGTCAAACCGTTCCAATATCAGCTTGGCATTTTTGTAGGTTTCAGTTTCCATGACCTGTTCAAGCTGTGCAAGAACACATCACAATCACATATCCACAGTACGTCAAACAGAGATGCCAACTGACTGACAATTAAAACTTATAATGTTAAAAATTTCCAAAAAACAAACAAAAAACAATTCGATTTGACATCAGATAAAGGAGCTGCTTATTTTTTTAGTTTAATCGCAGAAAGAAACCCGGTCCGTTTTCTCGCAGTCTCCTGTTTGGTTTAATTTTAAAACTTCATTTCAGGGAAATGGTGCTAATTATTTAACTTTAATGAATAGAATAATTACAAGCCCTACTGCGATAATGGGGAGTGCGAAAATCCATCAGCTGTAATTATTGAAAGTTATTAGACATGACAGTGGATGACAAGCAATTTCTCAGATTTATTTCCTCCCATCACTAAACACTTAATTTAAAGACAAGTCGTTAGCTAAGCACTTTACCAAGTAAAGTCTTTGTGCCAATTACCCGCTGTCTTCATTGATTTCAGATTATTTATGAAGAGCAGAAATGATCTCTTTCTCTCACTGACAGAAGAGAGGCGCAATATGATAAAAGCCAAACAGGACGCTGTTGTGCTAACATTAGTATAGGGCTAACTAGCTCGTGCGGGAAGAGAGAAGATCTCTGACTGGGTGAAATTACTAGCTCAAAAAATCCTGACATTCATGAGGGGCCTGCACTCCAGTATCTCCCTATAGTCAATCATTTTAGCCCTGGGCTTCTTCGGTCAAAAATGACCGAAACTGTTAACTTCTTTTTTTTTTTTTTTTTTTTTTGCTTCATCAGAGGGGGATGAAACTTGGTGAGTTTTGTTGTATTACCTATGTGAACACACACACACAAAATCAAAGAGATGATTCGGATATGTTAAAGGGTAACACTTAGCTTCCTCCCAGTCAAACATGACCGACCATAGGAAATGAATGGGAAATACGAAAACTTGAGAAACTTGTGGTGGTACAAACTACAGATCAGCCACTGTGCAGAAAAAAAGTGTACAGCAATGAAGGGGTGACACTCATGGAGAGTGCAAATAAGACCCCCACACAAATATACACACACAGATAAACTGGCAAGACTCCAACATCAAATTTTTAGAATATGTAAAATAAATCAATAAATGGAAAAAAAATATAAAAAACTCGCTCAAATGCATGCACACACACTCAAAGTGAGAGAGAGAGAGAATGGAAACATTGTGTTCCCTTTCTAACCAAATGTTATCATTTGATTGTAATCATAATGCAAAACCTGATACTTATCTAAAAAAAAGTTTAAAAAAATAAAAATAAAAAGTAGTCTTTTAAAAAATCTAAATCTATATCTAAATAAATAAAAAAAACTAATAAGAGAGAAATCATGTCTAAAACAACAATAGGAATTAAAAAGCCTTTCTTTGCATACGCTAAACTATAGGACACCTACAGGGCGTTAAAGGACATTTCTCACATTTATATATTTTAAAGCCACTGGATGGTGGTCTTCTCACTTGAAAATATTTTGATGTGCACCCTATTTTGATGTGAAATGTTGCATTTATTGGAAAAAATAAATAAATAAATAGCTCATAAAAATTATATAATTAATGCAAAGTATCATAAAAATCTTTAAAAATCCTAAATAATAATAAAAAAAATATTATTGAACAAGAATATATTTGATTGGTTTTCCTGGAGGGAAAGAAAAGTTAAATTTTAAGGCTTGGAAGGAAGTTAAGTGTAACCCCTAAATGAAGAAGCCCAGAGGGTTAAAACTCATCTTTGATCACTAAAATTACATTTTTCCCTGAAAAAAAAAAAAAAAGTTGTTCATGCCTTAAAATAGCTTGAATGTAAATTTTACACCCTTGCCTCATTTTGTATACAAGGTGCTATGAATATGCAAATTACCCGCCTTCACACATTGATCTGATTGGTTACGAGGTAGTTTGTGGGCAGAAACACCAGTGATGAGACGGCAGCTTTAAGGAGAAAATACTCAGCAATGCACACATGGTTCGTAATAAAGCACACAGACATATAAACAACATTAAAAGCTGGATTTTCACCACAGGCTTGAAAACAGACACAAACTACCCCCAAAAATTAACTACACATCATGAAGTGACATTGAAAGAAACACACTGCTACGGATTACTCACTATTTTCTTTTTCTCTGCTTTCAGATCTTCTAATTTTTCATCTAAGATGCAAAATAAAAATAAAATAAAAAACACAAAAAATTAAGTGTAGGTATGATTAAAGGCCCATTCACACCAAGGACAATCCATTTTTTTACAGCTGATAAATGATATAAAAACAGTGACAGCCAATCAGAATCCATCCTGCTTTAAGAGCTTAATATATATAGATTGTAGCATATAGTGATCATTGGCGTGTGAATGAGCCTTAAGACTCTGGTGTCATTACAGACTGACCTCGTATTGACATCAAATATAAAGTATTCAGATTTTGCTATTGGGTTCACAGGGAAACTCTTACTGTTTCTCTCCGTCCGTCTGTTGTATAAAACAATCAGCAGTTTCCTCAAGAGCCAAACTCTACAGGAAGGAAAAGCAGTTTCATTTAAAAGTCATCATAATTGGAAAAAAAAATGGACTCGAAGACTGAAGCCAAAGCACTTACACCAGAGGAAATATCAAGAATGGCGACGCCACTATAACTTTCCCAATGGTCTGCTCCGGGATGTACCAGACGTAGACGACCGTACAGGCGATCATGTACAGCAGGACCGAGTACAGCAGCAGTCGGTACACCCATAGCTTCCTCTGCTTCTGGGTCTTCTCTCGGTTCTCCTCAAGGGCCTGGATGTCCTGAGGGATCATTCAGAAACACGTCCTCAGTCTCATTCAAATGGAAAATACGGTCACATTTGGATTATCACTCATATTTAATTGCATTTGTGCTTTCCTACAAAAGCAGGTTTTATAAAGGGAAATTTAAGACATTTTAAAAGACCTTTTTAACGAATAAACTAAAGGGAAATGTCTAGGGAAAAACACAATGAGTTTTATTAGCAAAACTTCAGAGTTTGACTATACAACTTACAACAGATATCAGTCCCTCCAGAAAAACGCGATTATGCGATCGCTGAATTCAATGCAAAATCAGCCAAGGTCCGCATATTTATGCGGGGCCGCATTTTTTCAAATACGCCGCACTTTCGGCTCATAAATTGCCGATTTCCGTGCAAAATATGCGGGGTTTGCATAATTTCATAATCCTCGCATTTTCGTTGCAAAAAAAGTCACATGTATCTTTGCAGAAAGTTGAAAAATGTCACGTTTGCTTCACACAAGAGCAGCCATTTCCCCCTGTTTCCATGGGAACGTTATGAAGTGACGCAATTACGCGACGCCTGACAGACTCACGGAGGCGATTGACATCTCACAAATCGAACTCGTAGAACTGTCTGTCACACGTTCTACCGTCACATCGTTACTTAATAAACAACATAATATAAAAGAAGTAGCATCAAACAGAAATTACCCGCGCACATGGGGTGTTTGAGGCGCACATATAACACTGCAGAGAGTTCAACAGGGAGCGCGCAGCTCTTAAAGGGGCCACACCTTATTTACACTCGTTACAGTCTGAAATAAAACAAGATGAGAAATTAAATATTCCCAGCACTTTCTATGATGTAGTATGCTTGCTTATCAAAGGAAGTAATAAGAAATGACTCTTACATTAGCCTAGTGAGAACAGGATGTTGGGGGAATCACTTTATTTCTCTTTTTCATCAAACAGCAATTTTTGCAAGTTCCCTTAATTTTTGCAAATTCCTGCAATTTCATCGCATAAAATTGCATAAATATTCCGCATATTCCATCGCATTTTTAAAGAAAATGGGCCACGTAATCAATCAATTTTTGCCAGCAACAATCACAAAAAAAACTCAGCGTTTTTCAGGAAGGACTGAATACTATAATGGTAAATGTTATATATAAATCGCAAATTTTTTCACAAATTTTTGGAAATTACCACCACAAAATCAGTCATTTTGATCGCAAAAATCACACAAAAAAATCGTGAAATCCTGGTGGGACTGAGATATCCATTACTTTTTGACTAATTTCACAAAAATATGAAGTCTTACTAAAGTCTTTAATAATATATGAAGTCTTGTTTTATGTGAAATTGATTTAAGCGATATCAACAAACATCTACCAATGGGCTCAGAAAAATCGACTTATTTCAAAGGGAAGTTAAAACGAGAACAAATCCACCAGCGAGTTAAGCATAAACTCACTTGAGCTCTTGTTGGTTTCTAGACTTTATTTTACAAGTAATGAGGTATCTTAAGTAAAAGTATCTTGATTTAAGGATGTTTAGATGTTTTGTACCAGATAATATGACAAAAAAATATTTTTTGGTATGCATGCAACATTTAATGCCTGGATTATGAATTTATTTGCATTCTGCTCTGATTTAAGACCTTTTAAAGGCCTTATCTTGAGTAAGAGTGAATTAATGTTAACACAATACCATTTTCAACTAAAAACGGAAAATTGTATGCATTTTGGCCATTTTTTTCAACCGGGTTTCAAAGTAACATTTTTGAAAACGATAGTCTTATCATCTCCATGTAAACAACAAACATATGTTTTACTAAAGGAGTAGTTCACTTTAAAAAAAAAAAAAACTCTTGCTGATAATTTACTCAGCCCATGTCATCCAAGATGTCCATGTCTTTCGTCAAAAAAAAATTAAGGTTTTTGATGAAAACAATACAGGATTTTTCTCCATATAATGGACTTCAATGGGGACCAAACGGTTCAAGGTCCAAAAGACAGTTTCAGTGCAAACTGTTCAAAGGGCTTTAAACGATTCCAGACGATGAATAAGGGTCTTATAAAGCGAAACGATCGCTCATTTAATAAATAAATAACAAAGTTTAAGTTTTATAAGCTCATATATATAACGTGCATCATATTTATAACGCGCATCACAAAACAGAGCAAGGCGAGCATTTGAGCTTATAAAACTTAAACTTTGTTATTTGTTTTTTTAAATGAGTGATCGTTTCGCTTGATAAGACCCTTATTCATCGCCTGGAATCATTTAAAGCCCTTTGAACAGTTTGTAGTTTGCACTGAAACTCTCATTTGGACCTTGAACCGTTTGGACCCCATTGAAGTCCATTATATGGAGAAAAATCCTGGAATGTTTTCATCAAAAACCTTAATTTCTTTTCGACTGAAGAAAGAAAGACATGGACATCTTGGATGACATGGGGGTGAGTAAATTATCAGCAAAAGTTTTTTTTTTTAAAAGTGAACTACTCCTTTAAAACAGTGAGGTCATGCGCATGTGTATTATGTGTTCAGTCTATAGGCTCGTAGTGTTTATTTACAGTGACATCTCCATCTACTGTTAAATACCCAAAGCAGAACTTGAGACAGGATCTGTTTCAAAAGCAACAAATTTTATTTACCCGCACACAGATGTGTACATGTGATACAAATTTGGTCAAACTTGTTTAGGACAAATCACATGTCTTTGGCTAAAAAAAAAAAATTTAAAAAAAAAAAAAAAAGTGTTACTCAGCCAAGCCCTAAGAAATGAACAGACCTCCGCTCTCAGTGAGGTAGTACTGCAAACCCTCATCCTAATATATCTCCAGAGTTACACACAGTGCCTGTACTGTTACAGTGTGTCTGTAATGTGGTGTGACTGAACCAAAAAAAAAAAAAAACCTGGTGTAATTAACCCCCAGTTTGAAGTCACCATCAAATCAAAATAGACAATTCTTATTTCATTGTGGAATATTGCAGCATTTATTTTAAATGATTCATCTTTTTTTATTTTAATAGTGCCCTTCAATGTCAGGAAATTCAACAAACTATAGGGCTGTCGCAGTTATGGAATTTCTCTTGCAGTAATGTTGAGTGGCTCAATAGCGTGATATGCGGTATTACCGCCATTTATTTATTTAAGTTTACATTCATTTATTTAGTTTATGATGTGGGCAGCATGGGCAAAAACGAGGACATTTTCAGTAACCGAAACTAAACAGCGTCTATATGCGCACTGAAAGGCTTTCAGTCAGCGCGCACATTGTTACGACAATGGACTTTGAGTGAGTCATTGAACCGTTCATTCAACGAACACGTTCAAAAAAGCTGATTCGTTAAAAGAGATGTAATGAAACAAGGTGTTAATTATTTTTAACTTCGAGTTCCACTTTTCAAGGCTCAGCTGAGCAGTAATGCGTCGCATGGGTAACTGAAGCTTCACTTATTAGAGACCGATATGGCGCTGATTCAATCCGTGACTCGCTGATTTTATTCCTCGCGGCTTGGGATGCTGACCAGTGCTATTGCTAAAACACATTTATGGTGAATACTAGGCCTGTTGGAACGAATTCCGAAATCCAAATATATTTTGAAAAAAAAAAAAAAAAAAAAAAAAAAATCAATACTATTCGAATGCTGAAGTTACTGTTCGAATATTGCTTTTTTTATGTATATTTTTTAAATTTTCTTTTATATGCAATCGTGCCTTTTCGCCAAGCATGTGAAAACGAAATGCCTTCGTTTCATCTGATGAACAATAAAGTCTTTGAATCGTAACACAAGTTATCCATGGTGTATCATCATAACAACTGTCAAAAACGACGTAAAAAGCGCCCCCTAAAGCACCTCTGAAGCGAAAAACGCAAATATCTCAACGGAGATTGTTGTAAGCGTAGTCGAACTGAAAAGAACGATGTAAGTTCCAGAATTTTTGGTGGTGTTTTCGCAGAGATATCAAACGAAAACCATCGGAAGCGCTTCAACCGTATTCCGCACTAATAAAATGTGTATTAGCGGTCCCTCTAGTGGACTGAACGTGTAACAACAATCACATGCTATAGTGGCATTGGCAATCCATGAGCATGTGTAGTGTCGTACATATTAATAATAGGATACATTTAGCATTTAATATTCAAATTTTATTTAAATATTAAATAAAATAAGGAATGGAATTCGTCCGAATAATATTGTAGAGATAGACTGACAGACCCGTGACGTGAACGTTAAAAGGATGATATGACAGATAGTTTGTTTTCTTTTGACACGGCAACCTTTTCACGAATATATGTGACTTCAAAGACAGACGCAGGTAATCGCACGCGCTCTGCCGATCTCTCTCGCGGTTGCTGCGGTTACGTGCAATCCTCTGCGGTTGACTTGTCAGTTAGCGCGGTACTACAATATTGCGGTTATCGCGACAGCCCTACAACACACAAAATGAGGGATGGCAGAAAATGGTTGAGACTCGAGCAGTTTTATACCTTATCGAGAGCCTCCAAGACCTCTACAGTGGACGGCTTGGCCTGTGAAAGGACACACAAGTAAAAAAGCAACCAACAATAAAGCAAATATTTGCCCAATTGAAGATTGGTAGAGGTACAAAAGTTTCTATATTTATATTGGTATACCTTAGTTAAACCCCTTAGTATGCAATATTAACACCATATATGTGTGCCATTTATCCATGTCACATTAAAATCAAGTAGTAGGCTACATCATCCTACAAGTTTGAGTGACTGAAGCACATTTACCCTCCACCGAGACACCACAGCGCCCATCTCGCTTAGCCGTCACTCTCGTCACTCCACGCCAAAGCCGGACACCTGTTCACAAAGGAAACCGCTTCATTCAGCAACAACAATAATTAAGTTCCAAACGAGATCATGATAGACGGTTTCCACTCGAGGTGATTTGAGGATTACAGAGCGGATTATAAAGACTCAGAGGGCTTTCACCAACAAATATTTGGACACTTAAAGGGTTAGTTCATCCAAAAATAAACTGTCATCATTTACTCGCCATCATGTCGTTCCAAACCCGTAAGACTTTCGTTCATCTTCAGATGACAGATGAGATCTGAGAGCTTTCTGTCCTTCCATTGACAGCTACACATTTAAAACTTTGACGCTTCAAAAAGTTCATAAAAAGATCCGAAAACTAATCCATATGAATTGATCAGTTTAGTAAAATTTTGATGAACAGATTGAAAATGAAATTTGGGTTTTATTCACAAATAAACATTCATCGACTCTAGGGTTGGGTATCGTTTGAATTTGAACGATTCTGATTCCGATTCTGATTCCTTGTTTCGATTCCGGTTCCTAACGATTCTCGATTCCGATTCTTTTAAGAGGCAGGGTCAAAAAAGTTTAGCTAACCTTGCTAACCAACGGTCTTTCTGAAGGAAATACTCCTTCTGTCACAAATTTAGCATTTTGCAGAGATTTCGTAAATTTTTAGAAAAGTGAAGCCACACTTTGGACCGCCGACGTAAGCTACTCATGTTCGACTCGCGCGGTTATGCAAACACTTCCGGTAGACGCTTTTTCGTTGGTGTTGTTCAGCGGTTTCTTCTTCCGCTCGGCGGACTGTGAATATCGAAAGTAGGAATTGAAATTTTAACTTTTAAACGATTCCGGGAAAAACGAAAAGTTAGTCCCGGTTCCAATCGATACTCGATTCTCGATACCCAACCCTAATCGACTCACACGTCGGTTGTGGTTAACGGAAGCATGTTTGAGTTTCTGCAAAAACCAATGAGGATCATTCTCAAGTTACGCATCACGTTTGAGCTTCAGCAAGAACCAATGAGGTTCATTCTCGAAGAACCAATGAGGTTCATTCTTGATTTAGGCAGCACGTTTGAGCTTCAGCAAGAACCAATGAGGTTCATTCTTGTGTTACGCATCACGTTTGAGATTCAGCAAGAACCAATGAGGTTCATTCTCAAGTTACGCATCACGTTTGAGCTTCAGCAAGAACCAATGAAGTTTCATATCATGCATTGAGCTTCTATTTATGTTCGCTGATCAATGTTTATATGTGAATAAAAGTCTAAATTCAATCTGTTCATCATATAAAGTGATCGAGTTGTAGGGTTGGGTATCGAGAATCGAGTATCGATTGGAACCGAGACTAACTTTTCATTTTTCCCGGAATCGTTCAAAAGTTAAAATTTCGATTCCTAGTTTCGATATTCACAGTCCGCCGAGCGGAAGAAGAAACCGCTGAACAACACCAACGAAGAAGCGTCTACCGGAAGTGTTGGCATAACCACGCGAGTCGAACATGAGTACCTTACGTCAGCGATCCAAAGTGTGGCTTCACTTTTCTAAAAATAACGAAATCGCGGCAAAATGCAAAATTTGTGATAAAAGGAGTATTTTTACAGAAGGAGTATTTCCTTCAGAAAGGCCGTTGGTTAGCAAGGTTAGCAAAACTTTTTTGACCCTGCCTCTTAAAAGAATCAGAATCGAGAATCGTTAGGAACCGGAATCGAAACAAGAAATCGCAATCGGAATCAGAATCGTTCAAATTCAAACGATACCCAACCCTATCGAGTTACTTCAAAAAGTTTGGACTAAACCACTCATTTAAAATGGATTAGTTTAACGATCGCTTTATGCACATGTTGAACGGTCAGAGTGGTAGTTGCATCTGTCAATGGAGGGACAGGAATCTCTCAGATTTCATTAAAAAGATTTTTATTTGTGCTCTGAAGATGAATGAAAACGTCTTAAGGCTTTGGAAAGACATGAGGGAAATTATGTGGGTGAACATTCCCTTTAAGTTTCACTTACAAATGTATGAATGAGTTTTTCAAAGAAAAACTTTGAACTTTTCTTATCCATTTTAATGCATGTTTGAAGAAGGGCTGTGACAACACATAAATAAGTATGCATCGCATCGATTTGTCGCACTGTTAGTTCATAATTTTCGAAGAAGAAAAAAACAATCGATTGAAAAAAAAATCTAAATTAATTCTCTCTTCCCTGGTTTAAAGTCAGTTCTCCTAAAGCAACACAGGTGTAGACAATCACATTAACCAACAACATGTATTCACGACAAACAGCAGATCATCTTGTCTCAGTTTTCAAAAAAATATGTATTGTTTTTATCATTTTAAACCAAACCTTGTTTAATGCTTTGCTTGAAAAGCGTATTTGTGCTCTCTCTCTTTCTCTCTTCAATCAATACCATTTAAGCTGCACTTTCAGAAATTGTGTTTTGACTGCACACACACACACACACACTTTATGAACCCTCAGTATCTCGCACAAGCAGGGTTAGATGCTCAGTGATATCAGATATCACCAGAGGAGCTCACAAAATCTGGAGGCTCTGGAAAGTAACAGGACACTAACGTTACTCTATTTTAAACTGCATGAGGGTTCTCGGATAGAAGGACCTTTAAATGCAGACTGACTGTATGAATCAGAGTACTAGATAATGCATGAAACTACAAAAAGGACACATGTCTAAGTCACTTTATATAACTTGTTTCTAACTCAACCTCACCCTTTCAACTTCTGAGTAACTTCAGGACAAGTAGCAAGCATAACATTTGCACTTGACTCGATTCAATGCTAATCAAAAACTTCATAAATGATCTCATTCTGGTAGCTAAAACATTTTAAATGTGTAAAACAAACGCTTTAAATGTGTTAGCATAGAATAAACTCACCGACTGATGAAACTTCCTTAAACTAGAATAGCAAGAATAACATTTTATTATGACTCTATGACAGTCTAACTCGCTACTAGCAGCTGATCCAGCGGACATGATAAGACGACATGTTGTTCTCTTTCATGCACGCACTAACGCGCATCTTTAATGTTCATAACCACGCCGAAATCTGACAAAACCAAACATAATTTAGCATGCCTTACCCGTGAACACGAAATCCAGTAGAGACCGACGTTATTATTCCTCTACTTCAACTGTAGACGTCATCAAAGTGCTCCCACAAGCCCACGCGCCACGGACCTCCTCTCCTTCACTGCTCTGTCACGTGACCAAGAACTCAAAGCGCGGGAAAAAGCAATGAACTTCACGCCGTACTTCCGGAAAGTTCAAAACACGAAAAGCAAAGGATTTCTTGCAAAAAAAATACACGTGTTTTACATATATTTTGTATTTTGATAGAAAACAATAATACGAAATAATAATATATATGCACCTGACACATCTGCTGCTATTTTAACAATAGCCTATGCATTCAACTTGCTTTTTTATTCTAAAAAAAGAATTTATTGAAAGACAAGCCATTAAAATGATTGTAGGGGAAAATCTTAGCCTACGTCATTTAGATGAGCAGAGCCTTTAGATCATGCTCATTCAATTAATTTCAATTCACCTCTATTTGTGTATAGTGCTTATTTTTTACAATGCATATCGTTTCAAAGCAGCTTTAAAGAAAATACATGTCTACATTACAATTTAGAGTAATCTGATTACTGTGTGGTTATCAGAGGTAACTGTCCAAGTTATGTATTTCAGAAATATACATGTAAATCGCACAGTTATAGCTAATTATGTATTAATTTAAGCAATGTATTAATTTAAGGTGGAAACAATGAGCTCATTGAAGTAGCATTGGTGCACCTTTAGACATAGCCTAATAATGTGCAGTGAGGTGCTCACACTAAATATTGATTTGATTTAATAGAAGTTAACTGATTAATTTTACACAAGTGCCTAAACTTTTCCCAGTAGTCTTGGAGACGTTGCCCCAGTTCTTCTGCATTTAGTCTGTTTCTTCATGTAATCACAGACGGACTCGATGATGGTGAGATCAGATCAGACCAGCTGTTGTCAGACTCCTTGTGCATACAAACATATCTCTGGATTATTATAATAAATGGCAAAAGGAATGTTTGGAAAGGTAAACTGATATTTCCTATTGACACACAACAAATTATATATAAATAACTGTCTAAAAAACATTTTTTGGGTGTATATTTTGAAAAAAAAATTATATATATATATATATATATATATATATATATATAATTTTTTTCATATATATATATATATATATATATATATATATACCAAAAAATGATTATATATGTATTGTTTCAACCCAAATATGGACAAACCCAAATGTTAGAGAGTGTGTGTGTATATATATATATATATATATATATATATATATATATATATATATATATATATAAATAATTTTTTGGTGTATATATATATATATATATATATATATATATATATATATAGGCCTATATATATATACAATTTGGGTTTGTCAATATTTGGGTTATATGCATATGCAGTATAAATATATTGTGGTCTCATTGATTTAGTAATGCAGTATCCCAGTGTTTCTGATTAATTCAGTTCAAATAATCTGTTAAATAAATCTGGCCTGTAATATCTTAATATCTATTAATATCTCAATATCTATTATCCCATATATGCAACTCTTTGTATTTAAATGATAAATTAGTTGGACATTATTGGAACACTGTTAAAAAGACCAGCAAATATGGGGTGAGAACTGTCAATGCTTGATACGGCTGGTGCTGCGTGTTTGGGATCTGATCATGTGAATTGAGGCCTTCAGGAGGTCTGAATGTTGGATATTCATATTGAAAATATTGAAGATCAGCACCACGGACAGCAGCAGCACTTATATACATAACTCTCGAATCCTAAACCACACCATCACAGAAAAGTTTATGCATTTTCACATTTTCAAAAAAACATCAGAATGATTTATAAGCTGTTTTCCTCATGGGGAGCAAACAATTAGGGATTTCGGATATTGCCATATTTGTAGGGACATTTTGTCCCCATAATGTAGGGTTTATCAGGACACACATGCACGCGCACACACACACGATCTGAAGATGCTTATTGTACATGCATTGTAATTCTCTGTCAGAAGCAATATGACTCTTATTTCTATTGCTTATTACTGAATTCAAGTTTGCTTTAGTTTTACTCAACCCAATACACTTTATAAAGCCTTCATTTATGAGGTGAGACCAATTAGAGCTGATTCAGACATCTCAGATTCAATAAGGGGGTCTGTTTGTTTTCACTGTGAATATTGATTCAAATTGTGGTCGGCCTGCATAAAAACATTTGACCATTTTACTTTAAAGCTAAACGACCTGGAAATCTGTCAAATATCTGTAAATATTGGTGAGCTTTATGTGCGAGTATTTACATGTAAATCATTGACCATACTGTCAGTGGGACTCATTTAAAGCATTCTGAGATGGGAACTAACGGCGAGACTGACAGACTGCTCGTGAATTATAGTAACAGCTGTCAAGAATTACAGTGCTACAATATCAATCCGCGTGTGAGCTTCCAATGAAGGGTGCAATAATCGTATTATTTCTTAGAAATATGATTCATCTGCGAAGTGTGATGTCATTCAGGTAGTCGCAGTGATTCGCAGCTTCAAGCCTCATGGCGCGCGCCTAACGCGCATTTCAGTTCGCGTTAAGCATTGCCAACTTTCCACAATTTGCAGTTCACTTCATCGCATCTAATTAAAAACAAGCCTCAGTTAGCCTATTATTGCGACGGAAGAGGTTATAATGGCGCCGTGCATGATGCCGTAATGACGCTCGTCAGGAGAGATTTAGGCCTATTATCAGGCGTTTATGCCCAAGACTGTTGAAATGAATCTGACAATGAGTTAACTTTATGGTTAATTAATTAAAGTAATACGGAATAAATGATATAATAGGCTTTGCGTTGACAGTAGTGTGTTTGCTACTTGCCACTGCCTGTCAGATTTAAACGGGAGGAAAGCAATGGGCGTGAGCGTTTTCTGCACATCATCAGACGAATTCAGATCCGTCCCAGAATGCATTTGCCAGGTGACATTCACGTTGTGGTGTACCTATAGATGCACTTGCCATAAATGCACGAAATGCTCTGGTTCGTTTTCGATCGAGATGTTGAGGTGAGTTGACAGTTTCTCACTGAAACTGAGTCTGGAAATATACATCGGCAAGAATGTGATATGATTAACGTGTTATTTTTTTTATAACTATCATGTTTTGACCCCATTTTCTCTTGGAAACAGACCTTCTCATTGGCAGCAAAGAGACAGCTCAGCCGTTAAAGCAAGTGAAGGCAATTTCCAAGGATAATTGCGAACATGTTTTAATACATATGCATGAAAAACATGTTCTTTTTTAGAGAGAGAGAGAGAGAGAGGGAGAGAGAGAGAGCCTTCACGTGCTTATGCAGTTGATTGAGGGGATGACCTGCAATTCAAAATGTTATTTGAGCACTATCAAAATGTGCAGACTTGCAAATTGCCCAGCTTGTATCTGAATTACTACCCCATTCATCATCATTATGGGTTGATAAGTTAATTTAACCATTTCATTCTGTCTTAATGAGCTATAGTTAAATTAATGTCACATAATATATGAAAGCAACATTTGAACAGAAGCGTTCATTTGAGACAAACAAGGGTGGCCATAGTTTCAATTGATGCATAAATCTCCTCATCACAGCCGGCGCGAACCTTTTCCCTTCTGTTCCCTCGCTTTTCTTTAATGGTGACATCAAAAACAAAGCAAATAGCTAATAAAGCTAAGCTGAAGGCTAGCTGTTTAATAAACTCAGCGATATTGTTTGGTGCATTTTCTTATTTAAATCACGTGGTTTCTTCTGATCACAAACAGCAAACACTAGTGAGTAATAGCTACAACCATAGACTTAAAAAAATATTTAAAAATAAGGTACAACAGGGCTAAAGTTGCACAGGGGTAAAGGGACCATTTGACTTTATTCTTGTAATGCTGGGGCAGAGGCGTTGAGATCCATTTGCAGAGTTTTATTTAAACATGCAATGAAGCAGTGATAGACAGACATAAACTGTGCTAGTAACAGGGCAATCCAAAATCATCAACTTCATACAGGCAAGGGTCAGGGCAGGCAGCAAGGTTCACAGAAACGAGGATCCAGGCAGAGATCAGAGTACCAGAAAATCACAATAAACAGGAATAAACGCTCGGTAATGATAGCTGATAGAATCAAGACTTCGCAAAGTCACAATGACAAACACAGTCCTTATAAAGGGGCACTAATGAGGAACAGGTGATGCAGATGGGACTAATCAGATGAACTAGGCAGGTGTAAATCCAAGGGGGAGATGGGAAATGCAGTTCCTTAATAATCTGGAGAGAGGGAACGGATGAAGCCAGAGGGAGGCGCAGCCGAGCTCTCTGTCACAGAGCCCCCCCCCTGCGAGCGGCTCCGGAAGCGAGGGCCTGACCGACGACGGGGTCTACCACGGGGTCTTGGTGCTGGACGATCTGGATGGTCCCGATGGTAGGTGGAGAGCAACGAGGGGTCTAGAACATCCTGAGACCTAACCCAAGAACGTTCCTCAGGACCATATCCCTCCCAGTCAATGAGATACTGAAGAACCCCGCCGCGGCGTCTGGAGTCCAGGACCGCTCGCACCCGGTATGCCTCCTCGCCGCCGACCTCAATGGGAGGAGCCTGGACTGGAGCAATCTCCTCCTGGACCACCTCTCTCCTGGGGGTAGTAGCGGGCCTGAAAAGAGACACATGAAATGTAGGTGAAATGCGGTAATGAGCTGGCAGTGCCAAACGAAAAGAAACTGGAGTGATCTGGCGGAGGATTTTGAACGGGCCGATGAACCGAGGGGAAAGCTTTTTGCAGGGGAGTTTAAGACGGAGATCCTTGGTGGAGAGCCACACCCACTGGCCAGGTCTATACGGAGGTCCTCTGCGCCTTCTACGATCTGCGTTTTGCTGGTAGTGGCGAATAGCGCGCTGCAAATGAACGTGGGCGGTGTTCCAGGTAGCCTCACTGCGCCTTAGCCAAGCATCCACTGCAGGGAGATCCGATGGCTCTCCAGCCCATGGGAAAAGCGGGGGTTGAAAGCCTAAAACACACTGGAAAGGGGTTAATCCTGTGGCTGGCTTCAGCAAAGAGTTCTGCGCATACTCCGCCCAGACCAAAAAACGACTCCAG